AAAAATAAGAACCAAGAGAGATTATGCAAAGGTGCAAATTTCCAATGATGAATGTCATTATATTGTATACCTAAAATGTACCAATAAAATAATATTTAAAAAGAAAAAAAAAGTAATGAATTTAACAAGAAGCCCATAATGTTCTTTTCTAGAAACTAGAGCTATTCCCTTCAGTTGATAAGGGAAATCATGTATTCCTGGTGATACATTCATATCTCTGATTTTTCACATAATCTCTACAAAATGATGTGGGCCTATTAAAATTTTATTTATCTAAAATTGCTCTAAGTTTCAAGTAGAAGATCATCCCTCCACTCCTTTTATGTATTTATGTAACATTTATAGTAAGATATAGCTGAATATCAAAGAAGACACTGACAAGAGTAAGATATATATAGATAGATGGATAGATAATTGATAAGATGATAGACAGACAAATATGAAGAGACTACAAGGAATGGAGTAGTCTCTACTATATCTGGTGATGCTAGAAGTTCCAAGGATTATGAACTGGAGAAAGTTAAAACACACACACAAAATTAGATCTCATCCATATACAAACTGATGCTTCAGGCCTAATTACTCATTTATTTACTTCTGTATATCTGATTCTATCCTAAGTGATCAGTACCAAACAAATCCAGAATGAAATCTAGCCCTGAACAAATCTCACAAAGTTTCTCGTGCAGCCAAGTCTTACAGTTAGGACTGGATGGATAAAGATGATCCATAAATTAATATACAATGTAACATCAGGTGATATTAAGAACTATGAAGAAAAATAAAGCAGAAGAAGAAGACAGAGTAACAGGAGATGAAATTTTGGCTGGAATGGTCTCAGAAGGCTTCTCTTGGGAAGTCCTGTCTAAGCAAATACCACAGTGCAGTCAGGGACCAGCAATGTGGGACCTAGGGTGGGAAAGAAAACAGCAACACACAGGTCAAGCTGCAGGCTGCAGATACTGGCTGAGAGATACATCTGAGTAAGACCAGGAGCTATGAAAGGATTCTGAGCATAGGACTGGCATGATTTCTATTCTAACAGGATCATTCTGGCTACAAGGTAGAAAGCTAACATTACAGGAACGAGAATAAAACCATTAGCTAGAGTCCTCCACAATACATAGGCAAAGGTGGTGGTGATGGTTTCACCAAAGTAGCAGCAGTAGGCATAGAGGCTGCTAGATTCTGGTTTTATTTTCAAAGTAATAAACACAGGATTGCTGAGGGACAGAAGGTAGGGTTTTGAAAGATAAAAGCCTGGAATAACAAAATGGCTCTCATGCCTATTCTCTTGATGACTGCCTGTAAAATTTATTAAGAAGGAAGAGTTTGAGAATGGAACAAGTTTAGGAATGATGCCAAATTAAAGAGATTTTGATATATGTTAGGTTTTAGATGCCTGTCAGTCATCAAAGTGGAGGTGACTAGTAAGCAACTAAGTATCCAGCTTCTGAGAAAAGAAGTACTGTATTACTAAATCTAATGGAGATACAAACACAGGTATATTAAGAAGTATGTGTGTATGTGTGTTTATATGTATGTGTATATGTATGTGTTATATGTTTATACGTATGTGTACACATATAAAAACAATGAATGAAGGCTACTTTAAGAAGGATAACATGAAGGAGGAAGGAAAAGAGAAAGCTGAGCATCATGTTTTAGCTACATTGTCATTTGAAAATTTTGTTAACCAAAAATGTATTACTCTCATAATAAAAAGGGGGCATTTCTTTTATTCCCCAGAAATAAAATAGTAAGCTGAAAGAGTAAAAAACTAAACTCAAGAGAATTATGGACTGCCATGAAAACACTAAGAGACAACAATTAACTGTGAATTATTTCCTCCCAGGTTTTTTCTTAGACATTTACATATATACACAATAAAGTTCTTTTGCTAAATATGGTCCATTTTTGCTTATTTGTTTTAACACACACAAGATAATCTGAACTCTAAAGATGGCAACCACAGAATTCAGACCATGATTTTTGTTCTTAAGTTTTTGTGCTTTTAAAATGAGCTATCTCTAGATAACCAGAGCCCCTACCATCACTCCCAATCACTGTGCATCCACCCGCTTACTAGGGCACTGCTTGGTGTCCAAGGATACTGGCACATTCCATCATTGCTCCTCAGAGCTTTGTGTCTGAGTTCTCGCTTATAAAACCACCAGCATGTTTCTGTCTTACAAAGAATAATCATTAAATGGCCACCTTTATATACAGTTCTCTGTCACATTTCTAATATAGCATTATATCCCTTAAAAAGCACCACCTCAAGAAGTAACTGCTGGGTTACCAATACAGTGAAGATTCCAACCAAAAGTGGTTTCCCTTCAGTTCACTCAGCACACTTACACCTGGGCCAGCATAGTTCTGGACATTCGGGATGTAGTAAAGAATAAAACAAAACCTTTATGGACCCTATGTTTTAGTGTATGTCCTATAGAGAGTGGAAGAGTGACAGATACAGATTTTTTAAAGATAACTTTAAATAGTGAAATGCACTATGAATAAAAGCACAATACAGAACATAACAAGAAAAAGAGGGAGAGCAACAAAAGAGGGGAAGCTGTTCAGCTACATGGCCAGACAAAGCCTCTGAAAAAAATGACATTTGAGCCAAAGCCTCAGTGCAGAGAAGAATTTATGCAAAAACCAGAGGGAACAAAGGACAGAAATCACAGGGGATTGAGGAGGGAAGACTAGCAGGACAGAAGGAGGGAAGACAGGCACAGTATGGCTGGAACATTGTAGGAAGAGAGGGGAAATCATGGGTGACCTCAGTGGCCCAATGAAGAATCTTGAACTTCACTCCAGCTATAAGAAGAAATTACTCCAAAGTTATTTTTTAAAAAGCATAATGTGATCTGATACAGAATTACATAGGTCATTATGTCAGTTATATACAGACCAGAATGTAAGGTGCAAACACAAAAGTGAAGACATAAATCCAGAGGCTGCAAAAGTAACCAGCCAAGAGATAAGTGGCTTGAACCACATTTCAATAGCTATGGTCATGAAAAGTGCTCTAAGGTAGAATGTATTTTGGAAATAATATCAACTCCACTTGCTGATGGGCCCAAGTGAGTAAGAACCAGCTCCCTAGTCATACCACATGAACACACTGTGGAGTTTCTCAGTATTTACCATGCTGGTTTTTTCTAGAGGCAACAGTAAAAATTAGTTATAAAATCAGTAATGAAATGTAAAACATAGCACACTGCTTCACTTACCCAAATTGGGATCGGTAGGCTGACGTTTCTTAATTTTAGCTTCTGAAATAGCAGAATAATAGGCACAAGTCATCTTGATCAGCCACGTTGCTCGAACCATTGGCACAGAGTATTTAGCTAAATATGCAAAAACATCTTCCTTTTTACTAAGGATAGGAACCTAAAAAGAAACAACATATGTATAATAATCACATACTGTATCATTAACAGAAAAACTTACAGAGAGGGGAAGCAAAAGAAAGAGATTGAAAATTACCTGCTGCTATAAGAAAGTGTAGGTTGCACATGGCGGGCGGGGCGGGGGGGGGCGGTATGTTAAGACAATTCTTGTTAAGAAAAAAGAATCAAAACTATGTTTAGCACAACAGCAAAACAATTTCATCAGGTGTACTTTCTTATTTATAAAACAAATTTTCTTCAAATTCTCACTGCTTAAAGCTACTCATCAATAGAGCGGAGAAAAATAATTTAATGAGAATCTTCCAAAGAATTTATTACAAAATTGGAAGGAACAAAGTCAATGAAAAACTGTCCCCAGTCTACGTTTTATCTATGAACATTTTTTGGATAAAGCTTTCTCACTGCAACATTTCATAGAAGTAACGACTCCCAGAAAGCTTCTAAAACTGCCTGTAGCCCAAAACGTGAGAGGCTAAGAGGATGGATCAGTGAATCTGCCAAATAAACACGGAACTAGAAATAGTAATTAATTCACTTGTTAGAATTAGGCACTTGAGATAGTTAATTATTTCTTTCAGACCACAAAGGTAATATTTAGCAAATTAGTATCCCAATGTATCACTGAGTGATTTGAAAGAGTTAATTCATTCTTCTGGAATACCTCACAGACATCCTAGCCCATTCATCTACAGAACCTATTTAATTTATGAATGTAGAGAAAAACAGTGAACAGTACTGTGATGCAGCAGCATGGGATCAGACAGATCAAGAGGTGAGATCACCTCTGTACTCCTAGTCCTGAGCCTCTTCTTTTGAGTTAAGACCATCATTCACCAACTCTTCATTCATGGACTCTTGACAATGCCAACCCTCTCCACCTCACAGGGTGGTTATAAGGGTAAAGTAAAAGAATAATATGCATCAAAATTATAACAACAATTAATTTGCTGCCAGTTCCAGGGATTCTCCATGACGCCCCCAAAGTGTTTTCAAGCCACAGACTTGACCCTCTATGAGGGTCTTGGAAATCACCATGGACATCAAGAGCCCTGATCTCCATGCCCTAAACTGTTCCTAGATTTTGTGTTGAAAATCAAAGCTCCAAAGCAGCTAATAATTCATAATGTATGGCATTTTTCTCTTAGTTCACCAAATCCTCATTTATACAGTGGATTTTTCTGCCACATATGTTACAAAATTTACTATTCACAACATGATACAAAGACTGATCCTACAATTAAAGGATCTATATTTTTTTAACATGACCCTTTAAAATAATCTAATTATTTCACCTGGTCTTACAAAAGAAACATCAAGCTATTTCAGTGTCAAAGAAAAAGCCACCTGTGTTGGACAATAGGCTGCAGTGTATCCATGCATTGCATTTTATGGCAAAGTGAAGGGACTTTTGATCATGCACAGTTCCTGCCTTGGGTGCTGACTTCAGAACACAGCCCCGGGACAGACACAGCTACGCTGCACAAACATGACTAAAAGGGAGATGAAAGGCATATGGGCCAAAATTGGAAGGTTTCCACTCTGCAGTCCACAGTGATACATTTTAATGAGAAAGTTTCCTGAAAATTTAGCTTACAAAGCACATTCCTCATGAAACACAAGGCTGAGTTTACTATCATTTAAGTCAGGCACAAGAAAAGCACAGGATTAAATATTCAGTTCAAGACCTAGGCAACTGCTTTTCATTGGAACACAAAGTATGGTACCCATGGCTTAAATTTTAGCTGTCCGGGTCAGGTTGCTTTCTATTCACACATACCTAAAGTTTATAAGATCAAAGCCTAAAAGCACAGCTAAAAATAAAGTTAGCATTTCCAAAGAGTCACTACTAGTACAGTAATATCTTTTATAGATGTTTAAAAGATTTCTTTTGAACAGCAACTGTCAGGAGCAAAAAAATAAAAATAAAAATTTTGAACATGTGAAATGTTTAGATGAAATGATATACAAACATTAGCCACATATCTTACATTAATAGCACAATGCACACCTCTTGTGGCAAAACCCTAAAAGAACTGGTTGACTCAAATCAAAGGCTTTAGAATTCAGAAGAACATATGTGAAGGAAGTTAATTAAGGAAGACACATGTCAATGGTTTTGTCAAATCTATAGTTTGAGTCAATTCAAGAAGCAAATGATGTTTATACTATGCTTTCCTCACAGTGATGGATTCCCATTTTTTCAGTGAAGGAACCATCTGACTTTAACTTGTAGCTGAATCTAGGTAATCATCAGACAGCATCTGATTTCTGAATCAAGCTAGAGCTGCATCTAAATACCACAGGAAAACTAAGATTCCTATGTGTCATTTTTCCAACTGTAAGAGGATTTCCTCTCCTCACCTCTCCTCTAACTCAGGCTACCATGAGCACCCTCTGCTGGCTAAGCAGGGAACAAGGCAAAGGAAATCCCATGGCCACGGGAACCCAGTTCACCATGAGTAAACAGGTGAGAACTAGTAAACTGTTCGAGAGCTAGAAGAACATCCTTGGTTAACAGAAGTTTCCTTTTCCAAATCAAGATATGATTATGACAGAATTAAAAGTTCCTCACAGTAACTAAACACTTGACATGTTGTAAAGCTTTATAGTAAGAGAAAAACAGGCTCAGAGGCTGGATCCATCCCATACGGAAAACCATTCTGAACTCCAGGTAAGAGCTCGAAGATGACCCAGAATCATAGGAGGTAAAAATCAAGGTTTTAAGCCATAAACCATATCACAGATATATATCAGAAATTAAAGAAGTATCTGAATCTTCCAATATGAAGAACATGTGGGGAATGCAATCCTTTATCCAATTCTGAAAGAGCCTTCACCATCTCAAGAAGATGAAAGTCTGAAAAGGGGGAGGGAAAGGCTCCAGAAATGCCAAAGAAATGAATACTTCAAGGTATATTCAATGATTTATAAAGAAAATATCTACATTTGCAAAGAATTAATGTCAGGGCTTACCTGAGGAACACCTGACTTGGCCAGAGGCAGCTCCTAATAAAGAAAGAAGAACAATGGCTAATACACTGCACCATAATTCATCTCCCTCCTAAAAGATGAGAGGCTCCTACACCCCTGAAGCAAGAGCATCAACTACTATATTCACTTTCAGAAAACATCTAAAAAATGCACTCTAAAAACTTAGTAACAAAGGAAAACCTTAAAAAGGTGCCAGGCTGGAACATGGAGAATATGAACTATTAGTCAAAAGCCATCAAATATTGAAGGACATCCTATGACTAATATGTTCTTTAGGTACAATCAATACATAGACCGCAGTAGGACCACAAAGTAACTGTTCACCAGTTGGAAAAGCAGCAATACTCAGGTCAGCTGGGTTGAGACACTGTCACTAACTATGTGGTAAGAGTTGGCTATGCTGAATTGTGCTTTTCAAGGTTTTCAGTTGCCTTTAACTACTGAACTCTATCAAAGGCAATTGCGTTATGACATCAGGGTAAAATAAAGCCAATGGAAGCTAAGGCACTACTTTCAAAGAGTTGCTTTAGAAAAGAAATAAGCAAATATACAAGGAGCTTGCCTCTAAATTGGCCCTATACCAGGTAGAAATGAACACTTAATATTAAGAACAGAAGATTGGTGCCCCTAAAACTAAAGGGCTTCAGGGAGATAAGAAAAAAAAAAAAATCATGAAATTATTTCAAAGGTATGCAAGAAGTCAGAGATCAAGACTAAGAGGGACGTTACTAACTCTTTTCCTCAATTTCAAAGAATTTTTTATAAGTTTGGATTTCTAGGTTATTGAATCTATGTATTAGATATTTCCCACTTGAGAATGATCAAAGGCAAAGATTTTAACAGAACCTCCCACCACCACCCCCAAAATTGAAAGTTCTAAATAACCCTGCCTACTTTGCTCAAAAATTTTTCAACAAGCAAGCACATCCAGAATCATAACCTTTATCTCACTTGGTAGGAATGAGGCTTAGCTTGAAATATTTGAATGAATACTTTTAAAGACAAGGAAATAACCTCAAAGCAAGGATCTTTTTATTAAATATTGCATATCTTGACCTAAGAAAACTAAATATAGGGAAAAAAAATGAAGCCTTGTTGCCTTCTCTTGGTTTAATAATCTTATCTATCTAAAATTATAAACTGCTTGTTATATTTAGGTTTACAGATGTCCAGGGTACCACATGCAATCAAAATAAAGGGGAACAGGGATAGAGGTGTAGCTCACTGCTTCTGCACCTGCCTAGCATGTGGAAGGCACTGGGTTTGATCCCCAGCAATGAAAACAAAAATCAATAAACAGAGGGAAAGCATAAAAGCTGCACATACCTGGTGCTATATATCTGGCACTATATATATTTAGGTTTCACTTTTGAAGTTGGGGAAAAGAAATAATATATTTAAACACTGTCTCAAAACAGCTTCAGTTTTGTAAGACTATAATTATAATAATGTAAGAAATACTTGATACCTTTTTTGCCAAAATAGCAAGCGGTTTATTTCCTGCTAAGTCAGAGAACCAACTATGAATTGCACTCTGAGATCGAGCAGTAACCAGCCAATAATTATCTTTAGCATTAACTTGGGGTTTCTTCTTTCCGGTATCCTGGAAAGTGTTAAGCTTTAGTTTTTCAGCTAATATGCTGCTAAAATAAGCTCCAATCTGTGGAAACAAAAGGAAAAAAGAAAAGATTTAATGACAATAAGAATCTCAGTACCACATTTTTTTTATTGTTTTAGTTGAAAATATTCACATAGTTCACACAGTCCATCAGAAAATAAAGCGGTAATTTAAGTACTTGAAGCCAAGAGCTGTTATAATTATATGCCAACGAGACACAAAAACTCACACAGCACCTTTGCTTCACTTACAATAAAGGGGGAGGGGCCTTCAGAAATCTCTGGTAAGATAAAATTGATTATATCCTAAATAAATTTCAGGAGAATGGGTTCCACTTTAATCTTCAGCTATACTTTCTTTTTTCACAATACACACCCAACAGAAGAGAATGTTTTCCCTGAGACATGGTGTGTATGTCGAGTAATCGCACAATAATCATTCCTTTCCTTGTTCATCAAATACTACCACTTGATGTTCTTAAAAACAGAATTTAGAGAACTGTACTGTTATGGTTTATATCTACATGTCCCACTAAAGCTCATGGGATCATAGGTGGGACCTTTGGAAGGTGACTGGGTTCCAGGGACATTAAGTTGACTTGCTGTTAGGAGGCGGAGACTGCTCAAAAGAAATGGGTCACTGTAGGTATGACCAGGAAGGCTGTATCTCCCAGCCCAGCTCCTCCCTTGACACTCTCCGCTTCTTGGGGACCATGAGATGAGCAGCTTTTCCTCCACCATGCCCCTCGGTAAGGCTGTTTTTTCTTTGGCGCCAGCCGACCGTGGACTGAAGCATGAGCCACAATAAACCTCTCCTTTGAGTTGTAGGTGTGAGTATTCTGTTTCAACAAGGAGGAAAGCACTAAAACATTGATTTAAATGCTAAAATACAAAAGGTTCAATTACATTAAGTATACAACATTTTTTTGTGTGTTGTCAGTGCCCAGAGTAAAAGCGTTTCAAGAGAAAAGTAGTATTACCACTTTGAGTGGGGCAAAATGGCAAAGGGAGCTTTTGCAAACTATTTTGTCATTTCCACATTATCCAAATTTTAAGGCGGACAAGGAATGGAGAAAGGGACAGAAAAACAGAGAAAAGAAGGAAGGGAATAAAGTAATACCTCAAACTTCAATCAACTTATAGAAAATCTGTTGGAATTTTCAAGAATCCCACATAAGCATCGCCCTTTATCCCCTGAGAATTTAATAATATGATGCAGTCAACAATGTCTAATAAATGCCCCCAATAAAGTTAGCAAATAGTGGCAATTATGAATAAGATAAATTATTCACCCTAGTGAACCAAAATAGAATCACCACCTGAGTTAATACTCTTAAGGCAAGAAATAGTCTCCAAGTTGGAACACAGTTTTAAACTATTAGCTAAGTTTACCTACCAGGATAAAAAGCTCATATAACTTTTTTTTTAGTGTGAACAGGCATCCCCTAATCCTTAACTGATGTGTGATTAAAAAGACAGTGTGATGACATAACATGATAGTAAAAACTAATGAGTAGAAAAGAGTAAGTCTGAGCTTTTCTTTCTGTAAACAACTTCACTGTACTTTCTTTAAGAGAATGTTTGCAGAAATTCCAGTGAATAAATTAATAATTAAAACTGTAGCAGAATCACTGTAAACATGCTGTCAATAGCAGCCAATTGTTTAATATTAAATTTTTCATTTGATACAGTATTTGGTCTTTGCACCTAGGGGAATAAAAACCTACCACTATGGATTGCTTTATATTTAAAAGCTCTCTTATTTGCAATTATCTATGGGCACTTTAATTATAATGCACAAAGAGTAAAAAGAAAAGATGTACTCTGAACAATCCAGTTTATAACTATATACTCGTCTATGCGTTTAATGACAGCAACAGAACATGGTGACAACATATTTTAATTCCTGCTAAACAAGCCTTCTAAACAATGCATAACTGTAAACAAAGTCAAAATTCCCAAGCAAGCAAGAGAGGAGAAAAAGCACATTAGGGTTCAAAAATATCAAAACATGATTATACCATTTAATTTTATTATAATTACATATGCACATATTATTCAAAAACCAAAAATATTAAGAATCTCAACTCCCAAATCCTAATGCCTACCTCCAAATAATCACTTGATAGTTTCCTCCAGGGTGTATTCTAGTGTTCAAATGAATACACATGAGCAACCACAGCTATCATTTTTCTCTCTTTCTTGTACATATAGCTCATTATATACATTTAGTATAAGCCTTCCATGTTTGTATATGGAGAGCTTCTTTATTCATTTTTATAGATCCACTGTACTTGAGAATATACGATCTTTCATTTAATCAAGCTACTGTTAATGGATATTTGGGGCATGTGTTCCAAAATTTTGTTATTAAATCATGTTAAAATGAATACTCTTTCACATTTATTATTTCTAATTTTTTTTTTTTGTACCGGGGATCAAACTTGGGTCCTTACACTTGCAAGGCAGGCAGGGTAACCACTGAGCTAAATCCCTGGCTCCTTCACATTTGTTATTACTAACATATGCAAATATAGCTTTAGGATCAATTTCCAGAATTTAGACTGTATGATTCTGTGATTTTAGTAATCATTTTGCCAAACTGCCTTTCAAAAGATCTATAGCAATTCACAGCCTTTCAAATAACATGTTAGATTAAATTTAGCTGGGTGTGCTGACACAGGTCTGTAATCCCAGCACTGAGAAGGCTGAGGCAAGAGAATAGCAAGTTCAAGGACCACCTCAGCTACATACTGAGATCAAAGGTAATCTGGATTGCATAGCTAGATCCTGTCTCAAAAGAATTAAATTTAAAACTTGTTTCCATTCACCCAAACCTATTTGCTATTGAGAAAATATTTCATTTGGTAAGAATATGGGGAAAAAAGCTTATAAGCATGCACACTCTTCTATGAACTAAACTCTGCACCTCCCAAATTCCAACATCAAAGCCCTCAGTCCCACTGTGACTTCATTTGAAGACAGTGCCTTTGTACAGGTAATTAGGGCTAAAGGAGGTCATATGGGCGAGGCCCTAATAAATATGCCACTTTCCTCATGAGAAAAGGAACACACACCAGGAATGACCACACACAGAGGGAAGACCATGCAGCCAAGGAGAAGAAACCGGACCTGCTAACACCTTCATCTTGGACTTCCAGCACCAGGCTGTGAGGAAATAAATTTCTCTTATTTACATTAGCCAGTCTGGGTCTTTTGTTCACCAGCCCAAACAGAGTAACAAACAAAGTAATATGCTCTTGGGAATTTATTCTAACAAACAAAAGCTATTTGTTCAAATATGACTGTAACCTCTTCATGAATAACTATAAGAAACTGGCAACAAGCTAAGTGTCATATACAGAGGTTTCAGTTAACTATAACACATAAATAATGGAATGCTATCTACCCATAAATATTATGAATATTTTAGCAAAAAGGAAATGGGTCTACAGAATGTTTTGGGTTTTTTGTTTTGTTTTGTTTTGTTTGGTACCGGGGATCAAACTCAGGGCCTTGTGCTTGCAGGGCAGGCGGCACCACTGAGCTAAATCCTAGGTGAATGTTTCGTTTTTAAAAAGTAGATCAGTAAAGGAAGATGAGAAAGTCTTGGAGGTATATAGTGATATAGCTGTACAACAATGTAAAGTTACTCAAATGCCCAAGAACCATACATTTAAAAATGGTTAAATGGTAATGTTATATATGTTTCATGGTTTTAAAAAGGACAAATTACATACACATAACTGTACTTATAAAGTTTATAAAAATCAGAAAAAGACAAACCTAAAAACATTGTGTTTGATCGATGCAACTATCTGCAGAAAATGTTATTTTCTTTCACATCTCTTAAATAGTACTTCAGTTAATATTTTAAGAAACTGTCAATTATTTAGGTATTTTTGTGTACATGTATGCACATAAAAAAGGATTCAAAATGACACACAGGCCTTTAATGTGTATCTCTGTAGAAGGGAAAGTGTAAAAACATAACTTTTTAAAAATTTCTTCTCATTTGTATGTTTGATGTTATTCATTTTGTAACAGTGAAAGTATTTTAATTTTCACACAATAAAAATATTTCAAAAAGGTTTAAAAATCCCTAAGAGAATACAAAAACAATTCTAATTACATATACAGTTGATATACAAGCACACAAAATAACACATTTAATTCAGGAAATTTTTGAACACAACATTCTGACATTTTACTGTTAAGTCTAAGGACAAAAACTACTCTAGAAAAATCATAAATTTATGTAGTAATTTTGTTATAGGACTGGCACTGGTATAGTTTATTTTGGAATTTTATTACATATGTCATAAAATACAGCAAACAAATAAATATGTATGTTCATATTGTAGAGAGCCGAAGTTCTTACTTTGGGAGAAGGAAGATAAAGATGAAACAAGACAAGAAAATACTCTGTGGTACTGGGTTGCAAATGGTAATGGCAGATAGGTAAGTTAGATAAACAGAAAGAAAAATACGTATATTAGTTTGCCATCTCTGTCCACAATAAAACCTAGTAGTAATGACACTGCAGTAGCAGTGAGCACGCCTAGCATCCAGGGATGAGGCAGAAGGAAAAGAAAAGATGAACCTAGAATGTGTTGTTGTGCCTAAAGGAAGGAAGTTTTCAAAACATGACAGGGATGTTTAACTTAGGGCAGGTGAAAGCAGCTCCCACTGACCAAACATGGGACAATCTGAGCATCCAAAAGACAACTACTGTAAAAGTAATGAATCATTAACACATTAAATTTTAGAAAAATGGGTGAGACTAAAAGAATCCAAAGTAATACTTTAAAAATGTACAAGGAAGTTCTTTACAAAAGAATGTCAACTAATACATGCACGTTTCCACTGAATGACAATAAAGGAAAAAAATACATGCTTGAAGTATGACACCATTTTTCAACCAGAAGCTAATAAGTCATTCAGCAGGAATCATCGTGGTGCTAAAATTATTGAGTGAAATTTACTGGAGAAGAGGATATTTTCATGGTGTTGATAGTATCACTGATGCAGATATGTTTAATCTGATGTAAACATTACATGGTATACATATATATTGAAACAACACACATAGTGCCTCATTATTTGTACAAACTAATGTTATCAGTTAAAAATAAAATAATTGTTATAAAAAAAGTATCACTGTGTAGGGACTGGGGGTATCACTCAGTAATAGGACACATGATTAACGTGTGTGAAGCTCTAGGTTCAGTCTCTAGCATATGAAAACATAAAAAAACAATTTTTAAAGCATGAAAAGGTGGACAGCGCTGTATTAACTCGGGGAGTAAAGTGACCTGACAGCTAATACAATGCATGATCACTGACTGGATCCTGGGGCAGGAGAGTGTAAATGAGGAAATTCTAAATAGGGACTGCAACTTAAATACCACCAATTTATCAGTATTACTATCTGTCAAGGGTATTATAAACACTTTTTCAGAAGTTATGGGGAATACACAATTAGCATTACCTTTGATGGGTTAATTACAATATTTCTGGCAGAGCCATGTTCATCTCCAGTGAAGGCTGGCTGATTGTTGAAGCCTTGCTTTACATTCACAGCAGTAAGTTCATCCTATTCAAAAGAAGGTATTGATTAAGCAGAAAGATAGAAGTTTCACCTTCATCTAGACACTGCAGCCTAAGTAAGAGCTAGGTTCGAAGTACTCTGTAGGACAGAGCTATTAAAAGGAAAATAACCAAAGAGAACAGAAAGTGGAGTTTAAAACCCAACATGTAAATGCACAGAGAGAAAGGCCAATGTGGCAAGTTACATTTGACTCTAGGTATAGGGCGTATGGGTATATGTTATCCTATTCTTTTAACTTTTCTCTAAGTTTGGAAATGTTTAACTTAAAAGTTGAGAAAAGAAAAAAAAAAAAAAAGAACAAAGAACAACTCTTCCCACACTCAAAACAAAATCATAGTTTTTGAACTGGAATTGCTCTTGAGAGCCCATAGCTTAACTCTCCCTTCTTTGTTGGCCCCTACTTTAAGTTCAAGAAAGCTAGCACACCCAACCTATCCACACCCTCACAGAGAGTTAAAGACAGATGTGAAGCCTTCCCAGAGAAAAGCTTCATGATTCTCACACATGATACACAACTTACACCTAGAGGGACATTTAGAGCTTGCCTAAGTGTCTATACAATTTGGCTCACTTAATCTCTACCAGCTCTGAGGTAGACGGCAGTCATGTATCTTCATGCTCATTTAATAGACGAGAAAAGTAAGGCTCACAAAACTAGTGTAGCAACTGGGCAAAGCCAGCACTGAAATGCTATCTTCTAAATCCTAATCTAGAGAGAGAAATTTCCATGCCACCATGTCACCAAAGAACAAATGTTATATGAAAATGTGGTCTAAAAATACATAGCTATAACTCCTACACTCCTTGAAAAGATTTCCTAGTGGATAGATATAGGAAAACTTTCCGAGGTCACAACACATCAAAAATAACATAGCCTTAAAAAAAAAATAACCTCCTTGCCCTGCCCAGATTATCACTGGGTTATGGAACCAAATCAGAGTCCCTAAAATAGAGACTGGAAAGAATAAGAGGAAGACGTTGGAGAAGATGAAGCTACCCCTCATTCAAAGCCAAGAAATGGTCTTAGTGACACCTGGAGTAATGGTTGCCACAGCGCAAAAATGAGAACATACCTTATCCTTCATCATTAATTGCTGCAAGTAGAAAATGAAAAAAAAGCAGCGGTTCAAAATCATTACTATGATTAGTCAGGAAGCTTTAGGACAAAATAGTTTACAACATTTAAGCATCTGACCAGTATAGAAAGGTCACTTTGGCTGAGAACCGAAGTCTCCTGGAGATACGCCATGTAACTTTACTTAATTATGTGTGTTCTTAGTAATACCTTGGCCAGCCACCCTTTTGGCAAGCTTTCAAAAGACCCTGCTGTAGGAAATTTAGTTCTATGTTAATCAAGTCTCCTCCAAGCAAAGAAGGTCACTGAAACTGTGATCTACACAGAAGATGAATTGCTAGCACATATGTGAAGACATCTCAAACTGTCCCTACGTTTTCAAACTAATTGTTTAAAAATTCAGGCCAAAGCTACATAATGCATATTTTTAAGTCAGAAAGATTTCAGTCAACTTAAATAAAGGAAACATAGTAACAAAATTTTCTCTAGTTTCACAGTATACAGGTACAAACAGGATGATGGGGGGAGCATGATGATAAAATTAAATATGCATTTACCTTTGATTTACCACCACATAATTAAAACAAACATTAACTGAGTAACAGCATATGTTTTTACTAAAAATACATTCTGGCTTAATCAAGAGGAAACGTTTGAGGCTTTCAGGATCAGCTAGTCCCACCTAGCACTGCTTCACTTTTTATTCTAAACAGATAGTGGCTCAGTTAACTGCTCACCATATTTGACTGCTGACTACTTTAGGTCAGCTTCTTACATAAACAAAGTAAAAGGTGGTAAAAAACCAAGAGCATCAAAATGTCCACCCTGATAGTCTATTCCTTAAAGTTTCCAAAAAGAGTAAACACTGAGAGCAAAAACCCAATGAGTGAGTTGGATTCAAAACCAGAGTGTATTAACTATTGTTGCTTAGACTCCAATAATGCACCAACAGAGACCCCTTTTAGGGAAAGCCATTCTCTCCAACCTGCAGATGTCTGCAGACCCTGGTTTCGGAAAGTGGGTGAGGACACTGGATACTTAATGGCATTAAATGCTTCAAGAGACATGAAGAAAAGGTATCTTGTTACATAAATTCAAGCAGAAAACTTTTTTTTTCTTTTTCTAGTGGTACTAGGGATTGAACTTGGGGCATTTTTTTTTTTTTTTTTGAGAAAGGGTCTCAACTAACTCACTAAGTTTCCCAGGCTAAGTTCAAGCTTGTGATTCTCCTGCCTCAGCCTCCCAGAGTGTGGGAATTACTCAAAGAACAAATTTTTGTGTCACTGTTCTGTAGACCTTTGCCAAGTCTATTTAAGTAAAAAACAGCAAAGAGAAAGTCTAGATTTTAAGCAGCATGCTTCTAAAACCTGTCAAGCCAGAATCTTTAAGGGACACAAAGAGTTTCCCTCTTCAAAGATTTTTTTGAAATCAAAGAGAGTAACAACCACCGAAATTCCTGCAATAGCTTTCGTTAGACTTCAACTTGTTCTGCCTAGCTCCTGGACAATTCTCATAACAGACCCATCAGCTGCTATGCAAAAGGGAGACAAGTAAGACTCAAAAACCTGGGGCACACACAATAGTCAATCAGGATCTGTTCCTAGGTCTGTGCTCCAGGCACTAGATCACCAGTGCTGAAACTTTTCCTGCAAAAAAGAATTTCACATTAAAGGCTGAAATTGTTCCCTTTCTACAATATGATAAAGAAAAAAAATATGTTTAATAACCAGTGGAGGGAAATCATGAATTCAGAGGTAGTTTTAAATGCCTTTATAATTAGAAACATCTAGGGCAAAAGAGTTGTCCAAATATGCATGAGGCCGCGCATTTACTCAGTCAAGAGACAACAGGAGGCCAGGGGATTTAGCTCAGTGGTTTCGCCGCCTGCTGCTCAAGCGCAAGGACCAGAGTTCAAGCCCCAGTACCAAAAAAAAAAAGAGAGAGAGACAACAGGAGCCAGGTTATGGAGAAACAGGATGCTCACATTTCTTTTTGCCATTGGCTTCAACCAAAATACAAGTCGTAGAGCAATTCTAAGGAAAGAGATATCCAGACAAACAGAAAAAAAAGCCCGGAAAATAGTCCACATTAATATGCAAGGCCAGTGTTCACTCTGCGTTTTCATACTCTGTACCAGTGGTGGTGAACCTAAGGCACACAGCTGGCTGTTTGTTATCACTGAAAGGTTCTCCATCACTGCTCTACACTGTTACAAAAACAGGACCTTTGATACTTTGGTTAAAATCCAAATGCATCCATAAATCTCATGCATTTACTTTGAACTTCAGAGAATGATCTTATTTATTGGATCTCTTTCAATCTTTTTATTTCAATAAATATTTCACTGGGAAAATGAAAACATTTTGATGCTAGTTTGGGAATTGTTGAAGCACTTTCTCATTCAAAAAACCAAAAAAGTTCAGGTTAGAACAATTTTCAGTGAGCATCAGAAGGCTCAAATAATAAATGGCACAGAAACACATGTGCAAGTACACATACTCATTCTTAACCTCCATCTTCAACATCTAATGCACAGAACATGTGCCAAATTTCCCATTTTCTCAGTCGCCTAGTCATTTAACAAACTAATCTAATCAATGAATTAGACAGAAAAGTCCACCAGGAATGACAATGACACAGAAGTAGAACAATATAACTCTATATGCCAGCCAACAAGGCTGGGTTAACACAAATCTTATCCCAATTTTTTTTTAAACAAGGTCACCCTAAGTTCCCCAGATTGGCCTCAAACCTGCAATCCCTCCCAAGTATGATCACAGGCATACACCATCAACCCCCAGCCAAAACAAAACTTGTAAAAACAGTTTTGTAACTATTCCTCCTGGCCTTGTCCATCATCCTTCCAAGAAGCCTTCTCTCAGGTCCCAAGAGATGTCTGCAGACCCTAGTTTGAAAAACTGAGTTATGATAATTTCTCAGATATATTTAATGGTCATTAGATAACTTTTAGTTATTGAATATAAATGACCTAGTACATCAAGAAGAATCTTTTACCCTCCTAATTCATTTACCAATCCTAACCATGTATCTCGCAGAACATGTCTCACATTTATTTCTTCCTTTAAAATACAGTACATAGTCACTCTCTTAACTGTGGTCACTGTCACAGCAGGGTCCGGCCACTGCTTCTCTCTCATCTCACATCCTCTGTCCAGCCTGCCTTCTATCCCCAGATAAATTTTCCTGACATATTCTTCTTTTCTGCATGACTCTATCCAAGTTTCAGAAGGTTTTCTACTTTTTCCCCACTAAAGAGGCTAAAGAAGCATGTAGCTCCACTCTGTTCATACCCTAAATAACATCTCTGATCTTCTCTCCACCTAAATCTGCCCAAATCAAAACACCATTACCTAGGACCGGCAGGCAAATCCTCAAACACCAAGCTCTCAGCATTCCAGTCTTCACTTCTATTCTAAGTGTTAAGAGTCACAGGGCTCTCAGTTTTTGAATGCAGAGCCCTCACCCAGGCCTGAGACCACAGTAACTGACCTCTCTATACCACAGTTGCTTTGTTTAAAAGGAGACAAGAATAACTTACAGAGCTGAAATTACATAAGACAAAATGTGCAGAGTTTAGCACACTGCTTGGTCCATTATTAAGCGTCCTATAAATGGTAGTTACTGTTATTATAGCTGTTTTCTAGTTTTCTATTTTAACTTTAATTTAACCTACTTGATGCCATTCCACATACAGTCTTTTCAACCTCTAAACCTTAGACCATGCCATTTCTACCCTCTAGATTATTATCATAAATCTTTTGCTTTTTTCAAACCACAACTCAGGGCTATCCTTCATTCAATCCACAAACAACTGTGACTATAGCCCTGTGATAAATACTGTAGATTCTGGAAACAGCAAGCAAACTACAGGTGTGAAATATACCTGCAA